AGTCCTGTATATGTCTGCAGTTACTGTCACAAAACACATTTCATTTCATAGTGTGAGAATTAAGTTTTGTTCTCTGACACGTGATCATAAAGGCACTAATATTCGTGACAACAATCCTTACAGGTGTTTACATTAAGCAAGCAGCATATTTTCTCCAGATAGACCTAGGTATAAAGATGACAGCACCTCCATGATAGTTCCAGTGTGGGTTTCCAGTCAAAGAAAATCTTGACGTCAGCTCTCCTGGAGACGCAGAGCAATACTACTTTTATAAGTAGGTTGAAACATTTTAGATATTTTTGTTCACTTTCAATATGGCAGATAAGGTACGTGGTCCATGCTAGTAAAAGTGGTAAACAGGGCAGAACCATGTCTCTGGGCACTACCATAACGAAATAGCGTAAGCTCACAGACTTTGTAGCTGATCCCGTTGTAAACATCTCGCCTAGTTTAGAGGCCGTTATGTCCCAAAGTTTTGGTTCATTCAAAGGGGAGGAATCTTGCACCGCAGGACAAAAGCAACGTGATAGTGATAGTGGATATTGGCTATTTTAAAAGCCATAGCGGACTCGGAGGCTAGAGTGATGCTGCGAATATCTCAGCTGGATCAACGGTTGGAAGAACGCATTTTAGGGAAGGTGAATGCAATTATCGATAGCAATTAGGTGGAAGCGGAATTACGTGGGATATGTGACGCGTTTGAAGTGTCATTAAATAATGTAACAGACAAGCTATCTTCCATACGCCAAACTACAGTGCCTACGGAGGACCTGTGGCTATAAGAAATTTTAATTATGGTGATAATTAATGAAAACATGATGAGCAAGGTGAATGCTTTATTACGAGAGGGCCTTAAGCTCAAGGTTCAGGTAGCAACAGCTGAAAGAAAACCTGTGTACAACAATAGACTGGCATTGTCATCGCCTGTTTTCACACAAACGAGGACAAAAAATGTGTTATGCAGGTAAAAAGCCGATTGAAGGATTCTTGTGTACATTTAAATATCTCAGTTAATCACAACAAACGTGACATGGAAATAAGCATGCAAACCCTTATGTAGGGGTCCATGTTCCACCCTACCCAGGTTCTTCTAATATTTTACTTGTCACTGATGCATGGGAGAGGGAATATAACTACAAACTCACATCTTCAGTTCCAAGTCTAAAAGTCCTTTATTAAGGCTTCGTTCACATGCAATGTCTATTTTCTAATTTCTATTTTCTATTTGCGCTATCTTATGATCACGGTCTGTGCCCTAAATATCCCGCCGCGTAATTACTGGCAGCACGAGCCAGTTACTTATAGTAACTTATAGTAACTGGCTCGCGCTGCCAGTAATTACGCCGCGGGATATTCAGGCCACAGACCGTGATCATAAGACAAATAGAAAATAGAATTTAGAAAATAGACATTGCATGTGAACGAAGCCTAAGTCCAAGCATTCAGCCTTTATACACATTATCTCCAGAGAATCTATCTGCATGCCACAGTGGCAGCAACTCATTTAAACACTAATTGCAATGCAATAGATAACAATTGAGGGCTTCTACTTTTAAGTTATACCTTGTGAATAGCATTCCAGGGCCCGTAACTCAAAAGCATTGCGCATTGTGACTGAGCGCAAGCGTCTCAATAACTCACCCATACCATATAATACATTGTAGCCTCTATGTGATATCGCTATTTGCAATGCTTTCGAGTTGAGGGGCCCTGGTACACGGGACCATGTGATATTTGCAGGTAACTCCATTGTGGAAGCCTGCCATTATAATAGGTCCAGTAACCTCAGATCAGGAGCTAGTGCTAGAAACCGCAATGCTGGCTGGACTACTGTTAATCCAGGTCGGCGTAGAGGTATTCACAGGGACAGGTCAAATGATGATAGGGAGGTGTATTAATTATTGTATTATTGAAATGTGAGGCGATTGGATTTAGAACTCGACAATCTTGAATATGTTGTTTTCGAGGTAATAGGACACGGTAACCAGAAACATGGCATAGTAGTGTGTTACCGTCCTCCTGCTTATGACGCTGTATGAACTCCTGAATTTATTAGTCAATTCAGAACTATTATAGAAAACTGAAAGAACGGTTACTGATTTATGCGTTATGGGTGATTTCAACTTTTCCAGTACTGACAATCAGTATACAATGAAGCACTGTGATCTGTTCTTTAATTTTACTTTGACACAGATGGTACGTGAACCTACACATTGGTCAGGGAATACTCTCGATCTAGACTTGTAAAATAGACCTGAGCAAATCTGTGATTTAGAGGTCTGGCCTGACGGTTTTTGCTTGGATCATTATCCAGTAGTGTTTACGTTTGAAATGAATGCGAGTAGGGTACGTGAATCTCTGATTCAATATTAGATTGGAAGCATGCAGATCTACAAGGGTTGAGACATTTCCTTTGTGAGAGGCTTGGTCATGGTTCTGATTTTAGGGTAGATATATGCCAATTATAATGTTAAACATGTGTGGAATGATTGGCTGTTTTGTGGTAAATGAGGGAATAGATTGCTTAGCACCATAGCGCTATTGGTCATTTTACCACAATAAAGTAAATGCCGATAGGATACCAAAATCTGTTAGTTACAATGGTGCGAAGGAAGTTGATTGCAGTGATAAAGACAAATTGTTCAATGATTAATTTACTGTCGTCTTTTCTAATGGTGATTTTTTTTATTGCAATAGAAAAAAAATGTAAGTACATTATAAATGTTACAAGCACACAATACTCATTACAATAGCACAGTCCACAAGGTTTTAACATACAGAAAAAATTACTGTTGATAACTTGTATACATGCAACTACACAAATCCATATACACATATCCATTTCTGCCATAATACATTGAATGTTTCTACACTTTGAGATACAATGTATTTGTCCTTATAGATTTTGAGGCTTATAGAGACGCTGTTCCATGAAGAGATGTATGACAAAGGATATAGACAAGTGAATGATCTTATTAATGAACATGGTAGACTATATTCATATAAAGAATTTACTGAACTCGCTAACATTAAAATCAACTTTTTACAATATAATATTATTACGACCATAAATAATCTGTACAGAAAAAATGACAATCCCCATAAAATCAAAACTTACTGTCCGTGGCAACCAGAGAGTATACAAGTTATTGTTAGACATACAAGTGGCTCAAAAGATATGTACGACATATTGTAATGATAGTATAGTTTTGCCAGATATTGACAATGTGGTCGAACCTTCATTAGAATGTTTTGAATTTATGACCGAAGAGGTGTTAAATTGTATTTCAAGTCTTGATGTAAACAAAGCTCATGGTCCAGTCAGAATTCTGCCAAAACTATTGAAGGAATGTGCCACGTACATCATAAAGTGACTCTTGTGCATTCTTATTTAATTTTAGTACGTTGTCTGGCGAGCTGCATATTATTTGGAAGTTGGCGAATATCACGCCTATGAACAAAAAGGGTAACAAGGGTAAGGTAGAAAACTACAGGCCAGTATCTTTGTTATGTACTATTTCCAAGGTTATGGAGAGGTTGATCCACACTAAACTGACCGAACTAATCCTACCTTAACGTTATGACGCTCATCATGGTTTTCCTGCACAGCATTCAACTAGCACTCAGCAAGTACAAGCATTACATTCAATAGGGGAAAATTTGGATAGAGGTGAACAGATTGTCATTTATCTAGATTTTAGCAAGGCATTTGATGTCATGCCTCATCAACTTTTGGTACACAAGCTGCGTAGTTTTGGCATAAATGGTAGATTATTGAACTGGTTTAGTGGTTATCTATTTGGAAGATAGCAAAGAGTATGCTTAAATGGTGAAACCTCATATACTAATGGTGTAACTTCTGGAGTTCCACAAGGATCAATCTTGGGGCCACTGATGTTTTTACTTTATGTCAGTGACTTACCTGAGGTTGTTGACCAGTTATTGCATTATTTTAAAGTGTCGTACTATTATTTGCCAGTTGTTTTAATTATGCTCTTTTAAGTTCATATATATAATTTTGTAATCAATAAAGTCATTCAAATAAAAAAATATATATTACAAGAGCATTACAGCATAAAGATAGCTGTTGTTATCTTAGATATTGTTGTCAACAATGATCGCCACAAACAGTCATTAATTGTTCCCAGATTTCTGGCTTACAGGTAAATTCATCTGAAATTGTACCCATTATTTCCTGTTTCACTAAAGACTTTATTCCAGCAAATCGATCCCACATAGCAGTTACGGAAGGCCTTTTGATTGGTTACAACTGTCCGATAGCCCTTGCTCCTAGAAAGTCTTGACTGGAAGTGAAAATCAGCCATTTGCAGTCCAGACTCTAGTTGGTTGGGGGCATGGAAGGGTATTCTATTTCTTCCAGTGTCAATGTCAATGTTAACATCGCTCATCCTACTACCATTAAAGAATGACCCCAGTGTTTTCACGAGAGGTGATCAGAGTGCTAGAAAGAAGCTTCCCTCATGATAAAAGCTGTGATGCTCAAGTTTCACAGGAAGACACACAGTTCCTCAACTTATTGGAGATGAACATCTGCCAACGAGGTGATGGTCATCTTGAAACGCCACTACCATTTAAGAGACAACCAATGCTTCCCAACAACAAAAACCACTTGCCTGACTCCACCTGAGTCACCTGAAAAGAAAAATAGACTAGATACCAAAGCCGGCAAATATACAGACATCTTATTTGAAACGAGGCAGCAAAGCTTTCAGATGTTCAAACATTAGACAAAACTGCTCAAGCAAACATTGGTCAAGGTGGAAAAAGGGAATATGTCATTCAGATTTCTCTCTGACAGTAGTGGCATAAACCTTGTTGTAATATCATTATGATTACCTGCAAAAAATCCATTGCCCATTTTTATTTCCCAAACAAGGTGGATTCCTATTTGTGCTGAAACTTGCCACATCCCACATCTTGCAGGCCTGGGTGAGACAAAGGGTTGTTCCTGCTGGCAGCACTCCCTGGCTTCTACCTGTAAAAAAGATGACAGGCACAGGCGAAGGCTCTATGTACAGACAGTGTCTCTAGACTGTGTCTGTACATAAAAACCATGCCCAGCCTGGTAACGTCAGTACATGTGCACCTAGAAGCCACCATGCAGTGTGGAAACAGGAGCTGCAAAAGGAGACAGGAGAAGATATGTGATGGACACATTTTCTGCTAAAAGACACACCTGGTAGTACTAGAACCAGTTGTGACAAAAATTACCAAAAATTATTGCACCCCGATCCTTTCTGTAATTTGATGAAGTTTATTTCTAGTTAGCGTTGTTTTACCTGAAATACTATTACCGCACTGCCGTGATAAACAGACGAACATGGGAGCCGCCATTGTGTTACATCATATAGCCTTGACATATTTAGGTGACCTCATGACCTCAGAATGTAAACAAACAACAATGGGGATGGAACCTAGATGTAAATGATGCGCACGTACAACGTACGTTAAAGTAGACTGTGAAAAAAGAAAAAAACGCAAGGAGAGCGTTGGAGTGGAAGCATTGTAGTTGGGTTGAAGAAAACGGTACGAAGAGACGTGTGTAGAAGAGCGGCAACATGAGTTACACTGGTCTTTCGGACCGCAACTCCAGTAATGCGTTAGCGTAACTGGGAAAACTCTTTAGTTTTGTAATTTTTGAGTTTCTTAGGTTTTGTTTGCGTTTTTTAGCTCACTTGACCAGTGGAGAAATGGAGAAATTCTTACTCTTCCGACCCGCGTTTAAATTTACGTGCCAACAGGACTCCCGAATGGAGGGCTCGTGTCACACTGGTGTCAGAAGTGGGATAGCACACACAAGAGTGGAGTATTGTGTATGTATTGCTGTTCATATCGATTCTCCCCAAGAAAAGAAGAGGAAAGGAGAAGAAGAAAGGCAGAAGAAAGAAGATGGAGAATAATTATGAAAATCCAGGACAACAGAATTCGGATGACGGGTGGAGGGAGAGTGTACAGGGCAGCCTACAACAACTATGCGACAGTAAGGAATTTGCTAAGCCACTTATTCAGCTCATCTCTGGCTTTGCAAGTTAACTGGTTGGGAAAAGGGGGAATGGTGGCTTTTTCAAAGCTGAGGCAAATCAGACATCTTGTTGCAAGTAAGTGGAAATAAGTGTTCAAATAAAATGTATTAAAGATGACTATTCAAAAAATGCACTTGGGCTCTTTTCTTAAACTTTATTTAATTGTCTAATAAATATAATTTATATATTTTCAGGGAAAAGGGTGATGCTGCACAAATTCTTTAACTCAATTACTTGTTCTGTACACCTCAGTTTTGTTGCAGAAGTAAGACAAGATTATGGTTAAATCATTGCTAATCATCCTTTCTTTTCTTCCAGCTACTGTAAGGACGAATAGGCTGTGTCACATGGTAACAGAAGCCGAAATAAATGAGACTATCAAAATGATGGTTTTAATATATGCCAGGGACAGGAACAGTGGGCATATGAAGAGGCATCAGAACAGCATGGTGTCATCACCACCCATACCTCAATGAACCAAGGGAATACTGCACCATACTGTAGGTTTACATGCCAAGCTAAATACTAGTAAATTGCTGCAATGTGTTTCAGCAATATTAGACATTCACAAATCACTCATCTTTGTCTCTGACCATACTTATTACCACTTTATATTAGATAGAAGTCAATAAAACCGAACTAAATATTAAGTAATTGCATGTCGAGGGGATTATCCGAAAAAAACAACATGCTTTTCCAACAAAATATATCAAAAACAAAATCTACAGCACATAAAGCTCTATGACACATACAAGGGAGATGGGGACAACCTTTTATGAAAGCAACAAATTAGACATTGGCAAATGATTTCGTTCTTTCAGAGACAAAAAGGGCACTAAGATATCCACTTCAGCATCAGTTATATGTAATTGAAGTTCATCAATATTATCATTTTTAGTATTTCTATTAAGGTTGCAACTGCTTTATTCCTTTTTATATTTCAGGTTCATGTTGTAGTCAGCAAAATAAATCATCCCCTACCTCCATCTGCTTTGTTTTCTACACCAACAGACAGAAAAGCTACAAAAAATTACAGTTATGGAGGAATAAGGAAATGCTTGTAAATCTATGCTGTAATTTCTGTGATTCTGAATTTTAAACAGAAATGTCAATTTACTTTGAATGATTTATAAAATGGTAAAACATGGCAGATAATTCTAGACACATTTTCCTTAAAAATCTCAGTGGTAGACAAAGGAGAGAGATACATAGTTTGTTGTGTCTTTGAGTGCATTTGATGGAGCTTAAATTTGCAAGTTGGTGGGATTGTTCCTTCTTCACAAGATAAAGGAAGAAATCTGGCAGAGTTGCGCATATAACATCTGTGGGACTACAGAGACAACTGCATTAATTGGAGTAATAAAATCTTGTGCTGTAAGAACATGCAACATATTCAGAATAGAACCACAGGCCTACCCAACTACCAGACTCGGTACCTACAGATCCAGAATAAACCGGTATATCAGACCACACTACCCGTTTTCAAGGTGTGTGTCAGATCGCATTACAGAGTATCATACCCCATCACAAATTTTGTAGGCCTACCTGTCATCCGGGTATCGCGCCTCGTTTTCGTCAAGTAGGAGTCGTATGAATACAACAACATGGCGACAGACAGTAGTCGGTGAAAAAATCGCATAATTTTATTTAACCCCCCACAGAATATGCTTCCGCTATCAAAATTAGGTATACTTTTCTAAATTAATATAAAAGTTTGCAAGTTCTTATTTACAAAACATCATTGGCTATGTTCAAACCAAACCTGCGGTATTGTCAGATTTTTAGCATAAACAGGGAAAATTGCAGCAGCGCATGAACCTAGATGAGATGAAATATTTTCCAACCCCGCTTAGGATCATGGCTATCACATAGCGCACCAGGCAAAATCGGTGTGGTGGCCGATACTCTGTAATGCAATCTGACACACACCCTTGAAAACAGGTAGTGTGGTCTGATATACTGGTTTATTCTGGATCCGTAGGTGCCGAGTCTGGTAGTTGGGTAGGCCTGAACCAGTTGAACTGTTAAAAACAGTTTGCCTTGCTTTAACTGTAATTATGAACCTAAGAGCAGCTGAATTCATAAATGTAAATCTGAACTTCCACTCTGAAAAACACAATCCTTTTCACAAGCTGAACGCAGAACCTATTTATGAACATGTATAAGAACTCGAATCACCCCCTTGAAGTAATATGAAATATTATAGGGAGTGTGGAGGAGGTTGGCACATGGGGCAGCTTAAAACATTGCCTTTCTTGGAAAACTAAGGACTCTGCAGGAGACGGTGCTGCCACGTACATGCATATACATATTTAAGTAATTATAATAGTGAATTCAACTTAGGAATATGCTTCAGCTGTAACTAGTAGTTTGTAGGTGTAAAGAAAAAAACAATACATATCCTAATTCCACGCTCGGAACTCTCCCCTCTTATGAGGTGAGAAAATACATTGGGCCAAGTGCCTTATGAAATGGTCAATAATTCTTATAAATCACAATAAATGAAATGTTGTGTGTTCTGACAATCCATGTATTCGTCCCTAGAAGATATTTCAAGAGAAAGATTTATCTTTCAAAGAGTCTTTTCATGTTTTACACCATATTTTTAAGAGGGTCAAAGTGGGGATTCCTGGCGGGATTCCGAGAGCAGGAATTCTCCCTTAAAGCGCTACGACATGGGTGGAACCCCCCCCAAATTTGATCGAAATTGAAAATTAAAGATTGATAACAATTCATTGATTTATGAACCTAAGAGCCTATGAACCTTTGGAAAACACTTCAACTACTAAAATCAACGAACTGTTGTTGGTGTCACAGTGTTTATTAAATTTATTTTTGAAAAAACAAATCATCAAATGGTGTCAAAAATGAATAAAGGTAAATATTACCCAATCAAGAGCCGATCAGTCATAGGGAAGATCAATATTGATTGGTGCCGATAATTTCCTGCGGATCTATGGGTATATGAACGAGCGAAAAATCACTCATTGCACCTATGTTTCTCGGGAGAGATGGCAGCATACCTTATTTTCAATGTCGAAAAAGTTCAGGCACCCCACGTCTACAGGAAGAGGATTGACCAGCATGGCTGATTCAAGGATGCTGAAACAAGCAAAGAAGAGATCTGGAGGCTGGTGAGGGTATGGAGCCGGCACTTGTAAGATCCATCAACACACCGAGGTGCGCAGAACTCAAAATGACTTCCATTCCATCGCCGGATTCCCGAGAGTGCTGGGGTGTGTGGATAGCACCATGATTGCCATTAAATCCCCTACGGCTGACGTTGAAAACGCCTAAGTCTGCCGTAAAGGCTTCCATGCCATTAATGTCCAGGCTATTTGTAATGCTCAACTTATGTAAGTACATGTTTTTCTTTTATCATTTATTTTTAACAGTACAAGGTCAATATATATGTATATTTATATATATCTGTCATGATATCATCAAAATGTAATTGGGTCACGTGTAGCAATCACAACTATGTGTTGGTTGTACTTCCAGTCATATTAAACTATTAATGGTTGAGAAAAAAGAGAAAAAAAAAGATTTTGCATTTCTGTACACAAAAAAAAAAACAAAAAAACTCATTATTGAAAGAAGAAATCATTTTAATTTTCAATAACTTTTTTTACGCTTTGAATATACAGCAACTTTAAATTAAGTATCTTTACCATTGTAAAATATTATTTCATTATAATCATTATTTATTTATTTTATCTATTTTATTTATTTTTTTGTTTANAAAAAAAACTCATTGTTGAAAGAAGAAATCACTTTAATTTTCAATAACTTTTTTTACGCTTTGAATATACAGCAACTTTAAATTAAGTATCTTTACCATTGTAAAATATTATTTCATTATAATCATTATTTATTTATTTTATCTATTTTATTTATTTTTTTGTTTAAATTTTTCTGATGCAGTGTGCAGATGGCCAGGGAGCACTTACAATAGCTTCATTTTCACTAACAGTGGGATTGGACAGCATTTTGAAGGTACGGATGCAGAGGATATTCCAGGATTCCTCCTGGGAGATTCCAGTTATCCTCTGTGCCCATATCTTATGACTCCTAAAGCCAACCCTCAAACAGACCCTGAAATTAAATACAACTGGGCACATATATCAACAAGGAACACCATCGAGAGGGCCCTTGGTGTTTTAAAAAGCGGGAGGAGGTAATTATTTTCTTTCTTTTTTTTTTACTTTTACATCATTAACTTGCAAAACATTCGTAAAATTTTTTTAAATAAGTTTTCTTACATCAGCATTTGCTTTCTGGATTAATTGAATTTCTTGTTTCATTTTTCCAGGTGTCTGGACAGATCAGGGGGCAGCCTACAATACTCCACAGATGTGGCCTGTAACATCATCATGGCCCGTTTAAGGTTGAATAACCTATGCATTCGTTCTGGTTTCCCATTACCAGGGGATGTTCAGCAGCTGGAGCATGATAAGCTGCGCACCCCTCCTTGGCAAAGACTGTCCAGATGGGTTATAAGAGCCAGGGAAGAACTCATCAGGCACAAGTTTTCATGATTTTTTTTTCTTTTTCTTTTTTTTTTGGTATGGGCATAGGGCACCGTCCTAGTTACTAGTAAGAATGCAACATAAAAGATTGTGTCAATTTCATTGTGTTGTATATATTGCATACATTGGCAAAAAAAAAAAAAAAAAAAAAAGGGTGGAGCAGGTTGGAACAATGTTTTTTCAACAACTGACAGACCCTCTCTTTATGCCTGGAGACATTCGGCCTTTTGGTTAAATTGCACTAAAAATCAGGTGGAAGAAAGCCAGGGAGAACTAGATTCTTAACACACTTTTTTACAAATGGATTCTTAATTGCACAGCAAGCAACATGAAGAATTCAATGAAAACTACTGGAAAAAAGAAATCAAAAACAGGTTAGCATTTGGTTGAAGCCACTCAGCAGTAATGCCATTGGAGACAAGCAGCCAGGACAACGCCAAACAAAATAACGAATAAACAAGAAAAAGTTGCAATTGTACATTGCCAAATATAAATAGGTCACCACTAATGGCGCTTTAATCCCTGCGAATTTTTGATCAATGCGATGAACATTTACATTTTATCTTTATTTTTTTATTTGTTTTTTTGCATGGACAAGTTGCGCAAGTTGTGTAAAGAATTGTGTTTAGAACATGTGTCCACATAGGGTTTGTAAATATGAATCCAAATGTTCATTGACATATATAAAGAAGTGTTAAATGAGAAATGTCACTTTATTGTTTAGACTGGATTGACATTCTGTGTCAAGTGTCAGTGAAACTACAAGCATAACCATTCAATATTAACATTATTCAAATGTATGCACCTACTGTACTGGTAGTGTGTAGTTAGATGCAATATGCAGAGAGCAATGCCTCCAATGACCTTGACACTGACTGAACTCCATATGACCTAATGGATAAGACGGCTTGATGGCTGTGCCTTTAAAGAGGCGCAAATTGGAATGCTGTATGTTGTATTCAACAACAACTTTATGTTCTCATTACTAGTAAAAGGAAAGTCAAGTACCTTGTTACAATTCACTGTCAAGCTCACCGTTTGTAATTAGGGATGGTTGTCTCATTAAAGACCACTATAACAGAATTAGTGCTTCTCTATGGACACTACCACCAGAGTCCTAAAGCTTGGAACTGAAAGCAATGAGAAAAATATTGGAGGAAAACCCCACCAAACTGACCTAGGACAGTTGAAAACATTTTAGCAAGAGGTGCCTCGATCACCAGAAGTGCCTTCAACAGGTTGTTCAGAAGACAGTTTACTGACCATGTTGACGCTTGCTATGAAAATATTTGATTCTCCGCCTACTGACTGAATAGTTTTGATTATCATTGTTTTGCACAAATGTGTGTTGATAACAAAAATATAAATATATTTGTGTTTTCAAACTATGTATACAAGAGATAATTATTAGCAAGGGGAATTTCCAGTCAGAACAACATGCACCTCTATATCAGATGCATCAAACTAAAATTACATCTTAAATTTATACACTGAACTCTTTGTCACATGAAAGGGAGATGGGGGCAACTTCCTTCCAAAAGGGCCAAGCCAGCTTTGCTGCACAAAGACAATCACTGGATTCCAAACATGATGGATGAGGCCAGATAGAGGTATGCCAAAACTTGGAGAATTGAGGTATATAAATCATTAAAAGCACTTAATAATAAAATGTATAAAGCTAATTTTAAAATATGGAATATTACATACCTTACAGCTTAACCATTTACTTTGGCAATTTTGAAAATTGTGAACCTGTAACAATAAATTATCTGATTCCAATAAATATAATTAAGAATGGTAGACAAGTTGAAAAAATAAGATGTAAGACATTACTGTAGTCCTATGTTTTTTAAGACTGAAAAATTGATTATATTGTAACGAACGGGGCTCCAATAGCTCTACACCGATGCCGACAAAAATTTACCAATCCAAATTTAGTTGCCGTTCTAGAGCCGTTTAAAGACGAAAAGATGCCAAATACCCCATGATTTTAAACAAAGAAAGAAACGTTAGATTTGTACCGCTGTACGGGAAAGAATCAACAATGACGTTCCAACCGTGTCGACGTGCCGTCAGAAAGTGTGACCGCGCGACCTGCGGTCATGACGTCACGGACGCTATAAATAACCGCTCAGCTGATCGTTAGCGGCGTCTTTCAAGTTCTTCAAGTTGAAGTGGGGAAGAAAGAAAGTATCTTAGAGTGACAGTCATAAAGCACAAGAGAGAGACAAAAAGTGAGTGAAACAGGCGGTGGGTAGCCCTCGGGCTACCCGACGTAGTCGGGTAAAATTGTGAAGAATTTTCGTTATGCCGTCCCCAGGCGTACGATATCGTCGCCATCCCCTAGATGACGCCGCCGTGTTCAACGGTCGTCGTTATGCCGTCCCCAGGCGTACGATATCGTCGCCATCCCCTAGATGACGCCGCCGAGTTTAATGGTCGTCGTTATGCCGTCCCCAGGCGTAAGATGTCGTCGCCATCCCCTAGATGACGCCGCCGCGTTCGACGGTCGTCGTTATGCCGTCCCCAGGCGTAAGATCCATACCATACTATACCATTACTATAGTACAATACACCAAATTAAATATGACTTTCTGAACGATATTTCAGAATGTGATTCAGCATATTTTTACAGTGACAGATAAAAGTTTTTTTCTAAATATTTATTCTTTATTTCTATTTACAGAGGCAGTTAGGTCGCATCATTCAAACGATGTCTCTGAAGACATTTTTAGATCTTATGTTAAAGATTTTCTGAACGGATTGCAAGACGGGAATGGCAGAAGAAGGAAAAGAGCCGTGAAAGACCTAATATAAATTATTTGGCTAATTATTAAAGGGGTTCTTACCAATATAGATCAGGCTTATATACCTGTTGGAATTTTAATTATTTAATCTATTTAATTACATGTTTGTAAACATTGTAACAGGATAAGGAGGATTCTTAATTTATTACCTCATGTTAGGGGGTTAGTGCTCTCAGAGCAATGTCTGTACTTGCAGAGAGTTTGGCATGTGTCAGGGATATTGTTATTTACAAGGTGCCTTTTTCATGGGTATTATTTATGATCTGTTTTGCTTTGCTGCATTGTTAAACTTTGCATTCTATTTGTACTTTTATTATGAACATTATATGTTGCTGTTACTTTCTATTTTAATCTATTAATCAGCTGGTAACATTTGAAGCTGCATTCAGCACGTTTCATGCAGGTGTTGCTTTTATCTTTTTTATGTATTGATCAGCTGAATATCTTCTATTTTATGTATTAATTGGCTAATTATTTTTGAAACTGCATTCTATATGGATATTGCATTTGAGGAGTGGCCCTTAATTTTTTACATGTATGTTACCAGCAAGGTTATATAATGTGTAATAATTTTGTTTAGTTTTGAAGCACAGAATAAATACTCGAATCTTGTATGTCTCTTTTTATAGTAATCTTATTGAATAATTTAAAATTTATTATTATTTAAAAAAAAAAATCTGGACCATATGTGGTCCACATCTGGCCCTAATCTGGCCTCTTTGATATTGATCTGGCCCACATCCGGCATGCCATAGTGATAATGAACTTAGAAAATGAGTTCTTATTGCAGATAAAAGAAGCAAGGGCACAAAAAAGGCCTCCAGTATGTTAACTAATTTATGATCAACTTACAAAAGTCTGTCCTTAACAAAGCCCTGAAAAAGCCTCTATTCTAATGATGACATCTTCTTACTGTGAACACAGGGAGAAGCAGACCTTAAAGAATTTGCAAAACTTTGAAGAAAACCCTTGATTCGCTTTACTCTCAACTACTCTAACCAAAAACAAAACCTTTTGGATACCACTGTCTCTATAAATAACAATAGACTGGCAACATGCATATATAGAAAATCCACAGATCACTGACCTTGCCCACATAACAATAGTTTCCATCCTTTGCATATAAAAAAAATCTATTGTATATCATCATACTTCAAGATATTATCATCATGCAGGTGAATTTATATGCATGATAATATCAAAGAATCAACTTGGAACCCAAAGCATCAGTTCACTCATAGAGTGCTGATCTAAGAGCAGATCACAATTCCCAAATGGTGCCACAATAGGAATGTGTGGAAAGGATTCTGGTGTGGTTTCTCTCTGATTTCAAGAAAGTGCACAGAACAACAACATGAAACGATTGAAACTGGTCATTTCTGTCAGTGTGGATTTCCTCTGTAGCGATTTAGACTTAACGATTTAGACAGCGAATCTGGAAGGTTACACTAACGCGTTATCCTAACTAAAGTAACGAACGGTGTCCGCATTTCGAGCTCAATATCTAAATTAGGTTTATATCTAAATTTGCGCGGTTCCGGACAGGCCATGTGATGTGGTATGAACTCCCTACAATGGGGACAACATCTTGAAGAGAGAATTACAGAACGGACAGCACCACAGAGATGAGGGACATTAAGAAAATAACATGTCTGAGCCCGTCGGCAGTTAGTGCTGAGATCATTTCTTGACCACTTCACTATCAGACGTCGGTTCGTCGCCAGCCACGGCGCTACCCAGATGACTGTGCAAGCAACGACACTACCATAAGATGACTACGTACAATAATCCATACAAAGGGATATGTGATCTATGAAACTGCGGCGCTATCCATAAGATGACTACGCAAGCCACAACACTACCAGAGATGCCGTCACGCACAACATTTAAAATTTATGAACTTTAATGACCTTAAGTCACGTTAAAGGATACTCGGGAATGCATGAACTATTGTAGCCATAAGTCACGTTTATATTGCATGAATTTTTGTATTCAATGTTTGGAGATTTAATAATCATATTGGAAATGTAATACATGTCTTTTTATTTCCGAAGGTTGGGGATAAACTTTCCCCAAGGTACAGGTAACATCAATCCCACTCCGCGTCGGGGTGTTGTCGCCAACTCGAGGTGGACGGCCGCGTCGCATTGCAGTATAATAAAACACATTTCCTCTTGTGCTGTGTCAATATTCATATAGTAC